GACATTTTGTCCTTGGGGTGTTGCCAGCCTTCCAACAGCAAGCAGGGAAGTCTGCTCAAACAGGAAGCCATCACGAAGAACAGGCCAGAGTTCAGGACCGGGGGGGTGTCCTCATCATCCTGCCCCACCCAGGCTATTTTTTTCAGTTTCCTGTGTGGACTCATGCTGCCTCCGTGAAAACGCTCACATTCTCTTAGCTGCTCGAACAAGCGTATGGGCCTCTGCAGCCTGTAACAATGTAACAATGTAATTAACGTAAACAATGCAACTGTAACAACGCAGTGTAACAATCACTGCGCCCACGACCACCAACCACATGGGGATTCACCAAAGCCAGGAGAATTTCACAATGCTAGATGCCAAAACATAAATAAAACCCGATCATTAAAAAGGCGTGTTAAACCACTAACATGGTGGCGGTCATGTCACATGTAGGGCGGTCACCAACAGACTGCAGACTATGGAACAAAGCTGATGTCTGGTGCTGACGACTCAACTGAAACTCAGACCCACCTGGATGCAGATGTTTTAGCTGCTTCTCTAAATTGGAAGTCTTTCCTCCTCTGGTTTACAGGATAATAGCGTTGGCTTTGGGAAATCATTCACCATCTCGTGGTCATCCCTCTGAAACGCACAGTCTTCCCTAGCCAGCTCTACCAGAGCTGTTGTGACAGCTGCACTAATCGCCAATTCACGTGTTGTTTTTGATGTTCTTGTGCTCCTTCTTCTTTTTCCTTTGCTTCTTTTTTCTGCAACTAATAACCACAACCCCACCCATGATCCTCGACCACAACCTCCCAGTCCAACTCAAACTCAATCTGTCCCCAAAGCCACCATAAACCTGTCCCCTTCCATGGTCTTGAACCCGCAATCCAAACTTGTACTCCTTTGAACTCAACAAAATCTCAGTGCCCACTGCAGTCTGTACCAAAAACCCAACCATTCCAAACACTACCTCCAACCTTAATCCCAGCCTGTCCCTAAACTCAGCCTGATCCAATCTAAAGTGTTTCTGAATGAACAGCAACAGACACAACAGAACCAAACCCCCTGAAATCTGCTAACTGCTACAGTTTAGTGTCTTAGTTTTAAAAAACTTTGATTACCCAAATATTAATTAATGGAAAACAAAAGCGCTGTAAAATGTCATTTCAAAATAAAACTTCCTGTTTTCAGTGTGGGTATACTCTCCTGTTTCAGACCCAGTTGGCCCAGCTCATCTGGACCTCCAGCTGGGCCCAGCTCGACCTCATCCTAAAAGCCTGTTTACGGTTCTAAGTGGCTCGGCTCTGACGGTGTCCTGGACTCGGCCTACCGGTCGTGTGGACTGGTACGATGTGACTCTGGAGGACACGAGCTCCGGATCCCGGCGCAGGACCAGAATCAAGGGCTCTGCAGCCTC